AAAAAAAAGGGGGAAAGAAAAAAAAAAAAAAAAGGATGGGATATTTACAGCCATCCACGCACAGTCCTGGGGGTCGGGATGGCTCTCCCCACCCGGCTATGGGCAGGAGGGACTGGTGGAGCTCTCCAGAGAGGACTGGGAGAGGCGGCGTGCCAGCGGTCCGATGCTGGAGTCGGCCAGAGAGGAGGTGGGGAAGAGTTTGTACCAGCCCGCCACGGCGCTGGAGAGGTCGAGCTCCTCCAGGACGATCTGAGCCATGCCCATGAAGCACTTGCTGTCCATGCGCCCGTAGTCGCCCCACACGATCACCTGTGGGGCAGAGGTGGCATCAGGGGGGGACGCCCTCAGGGGGATGCTGGGTGGCCGCCCCCTGTTCCATCCCGACCCCAGGGACTGCCGGGGGGTTCACCTGCAGGACTTTGCCTTGGGGGCTCTCCTCAAAGAGCAGTGCCTGCTGGTAGGAGGGGTCGCAGGTCTTCTTCACCGCTTTGGTCTTCTTCTTGGCCAGGCAGACGCCGTTTTCCAGCAGGTAAACCTTCACATAGGTGGCTGCAGTGGGGAGAAGCGCCGACTCAGAGCAGCTCCTGGGGGTGTCCCAGCACAGCACCGTCCCCGTCCCTCCGCAGCCACCTACCTGGGATGCATTTGGAGCCCATCTTCGGGATGAGGCCCCGTGCCTGGATCACCTCCACCTCCAGCTGCCCGCTGCGGTCTGCCATGCCCACGTGGACATCACCTGGGCAGGGGAAGGGACGCACTGCACTCAGCATCCTCCCAGCACCCACCTCCTGCTGGGTGTGAGCCGGGCTGGGATGGTCCCCACCACTGGGAGAAGCCACCTCCAGGGTTGGCAGCCTCAGTCGGAGAGTCATTAAGATTGGAACAGACAGCTAAAATCACCAAGTTGAACCATCAACCCATCCCTGCCATGCCCACTGAACCGTGCCCCTTGGTGCTGCACTCAGCATGCTGCCCCGAGCACCCTGCAGGGTGTACCTATGCACAACCTGTGGCCCCGTTGCTCACTTCCTGGTAGCCCTGGCAGAGCCAGGGGACAGACAAAAGGTGTGCTGGCATCCCAGTGGGGCTTTATAGCAAGGAATGAACCTGTGCATTCTCAAAACACACCTACTGCAAAATCCAGAGAGTTGGGGCTGCCCTACATTGTGGGGAGCAGGAAGGATCTCAGGGAAAGCCAGAGCTGCTGCATCCCCCCCTTGGAGATGCTCCAGCCCTGTGCCCTGATCAGGGACGTCCCCCTCCCTCAGCTGAGCCACGCACAGCCCCAGCTCCTGCTCATCCTGCACAGCCCCACTGCACGGACCCCCAGCACTCACCCATCGGGGGGGTGGCCAAAGTCTGCCGTCCCACCAGCTGCCCCGGGCCCAGCCCGTCCAGGAAGTCACTGAACTGACTCTCAGCTCCCAGCCGTGCGGTGGGGAAGATGAACCTGCGTGGGATGGAGCAAGAGATGCCAATGGGGCCCCGGCTGCCCTCCAGCCGCCACGGCGCGCGTGTGCCGGCGGTCCTTACGTGCCGTCGGAGCTGTTGCTGTTGGTGCTGCCGTCGGTGGACTCGCGGCTGCCCTGCCGGGTGACCCTGGTCCTCAGCTCCACCGCGATGCCGGTCTCGGTGCTCCGGCGGATGTTGCTGCGCAGCTTTTTGGGGCCGCCCTCTGGAAACCGAGGTGTGGGGTGAGGCGGTGGAGCCCCATATCAACACCTCCAGGTCCCACTGACCCCACCTTGTCTACGGCTCAGCTGTCCCTGTTGCCGTCCCCAGGAGCAGCGGCGCCCAGTGTGCTGCCACCCCACTGCTGCTGTGTGTCCCCAGTGGTGGCAGATGGCACAGGGAGGAAGGTGCCATGGGGAGGAGATCCCCCCCAACCCCCACCACTGCCTGGTGCCACCGGGCCGATCCCTGGCACTGCGCTGCCTCTGCTGGAGTGGGCAGGATGCCACGATCACCACTGGCATTGTTTGTAGGAACCTGCCAGCTCGTTGGGGTCTGGTAAGGTGAGCAGGGAAGGCCGTGGCAGTGCTGCTGGAGCCCTGAGAGGGAACCATGCATTGCTCCGCTGCAGCCACGGAGGATCAGGGATGGGCTGGGGAGGTGCAGCCCCATCCCCAGGAGGGCTCCTGCCTGGCCCTGACACCCCTCAGTTCTGGGATAACGACGTCCCTTCTGGAACATCTGGGATGTGCAGGGCTGGAGGGCTCCAGGTGGGTGCCTCTCCTTATGGAGAGCGTTCCAAATGATGGAACGCCAACAAAGCCATAACCAAAGCACTAAACTGAGCCTTTCTCCCTCCTTCGCCTTCTGCAAAGCTTCTTGAAGCATTTCAATATTTCCCACAGCCGGAGACCACTCAGCTGGCCCTTTCCACACATTCATTTTTTGAGCGTTTTAACCAGTATCGTGCAGGTGCACACTGCAAAGCACGGGACCGAAGGCAATGGGGTCGGGCACACAGCAGTGGGGTCAGGCACACAGCAGTGGGGTCCAGCCATGCTCACCGCTCTGGTTGAGCTGCAGCGTGCTCCTGCTCCACTGGGACAGCCCCACGATGGCCACCATCTTGGCTCCCAGGCTGGAGCGCCGCTTCTTGCTGGCGGTGATGCTGACGGAGTCGGCGCTGCCCCGCGCGCTCTTCTCCACGCCGTACATCTCCCCGCTGATGCTGGAGCTGCGCACCACATTCCTGCCCGCCGACGGGCCGGCGTCCCCGTTGAACATGGTGAGGAGTTGCGGGGTGGGATCAGCTGCGGGGACGGCAGGGTGGGTCGGGAGGGGCACCGTGCTGCCCCCGGGTGCCCAGCTGGGCAGGGTATTCAGGGCACCCCGAGGTGGCTGTGTGCCTTGTTGCACCACCGCCAGCCTGACAGCCCAAACCCCACCGTGGCCATGGCTGTGCCCACCCCGATCCCCGCCTGCTGGCCGTGCCCCACGCCCAGCACCACACTGGTTTTCAGCCCTCACTGCTTCCCTTCGCCATGAATATTTAAAGCACGGCGGGATGGGAGCATCCATCTTCCAGGCAGAGGTGAATGATGAACTGCGGGCCAAGTGAAGCCACTTTAGGATAATGGATGGAGGCAGCGCCCGGAAAAATATTTCTCTTTCAAGAGACGCAGCCACAAACGCAGAGAAGTGGCAGCTGCCAGTGGGGCAGTGCAGGGGATGGAGCATCACGAAGGAGACACAGCACAGAGGGGACACAGACCCCCATGGCACCGATGTCACACAGCAGCACCCCGGCACGGCGCTCAGTTTTGGCGGAGCTTTGGGGCACAGCAGCCTCTGGGCGTGAGGAAGGGACCCCAGATGCTCACCCCAACTGTTTGCACGCTGCTCCGTGCCTCAGTTTCCCCCACGGCCATCCCTGAGCACAGCGATGCCCGCAGCCCTGCAGGACCCATGGCGCACAAAGGGCTCCCACCGCTGTGCTCCCCACTCGGCACAGAGCTTTGCTGGGAGCAGATGAGATGATGACAGCACTGTGGCAATAGGATTGTTTCACTGCGAGACGCAAAGGGTTCCCACCCCGGAGGGAGGAGGGATTTGCTGCGCTCCCGCAGCCTGGTCCGCACGCCGCACCCCTTTGCCCACCCTCTGCATCTCATCTCCTCCTCGTGGCAAAGCACTGCGATTCTGACAGCTGCAGCCCCTCCACTCCGTGCCCCAAAGCACCGACCCGCAGCCCAGATGGGCTCGGAGCGACGCCGTGGCCGTGGCACCCCTGCACTGATGTGCGATGGCCCCGACATGAGCTCCGTGCCGCGTCCCGTGCCCACCCTGCACACACACCCCAAATAGGAAAAGGTCCCTTACCTGCACCGGGCAGCACCCCACGGCCCCCCCCCCTGCCCGGCACGCAGCCCCCAGCCCTTCTATGGGAGGAGGGTGGCAGCCCGGGCACGCTGCACGGGTTTCTGGAGAGCGGGGTTGTGCCGGCGCTGCTTCAGCATCTCCATGGTGACATGGCTGACCCAGTTCTCCTCCCAGCCCTGAGCGAGTGGGGGCACGCAGCGGTGGTCCGGGGGGGGGAGAGGGGAAGTGTGGGGCGGTGCCACGGAAAGGGGCAGTGGGAGATGTGGTGGGGTGAGGTGGGATTCAATGGGATGCGGTGGGATGTAATGAGATGAGCTGGGATGCGGTGGGCTGCGGTAGGTTATGATGGGATGGGGGGGGGATGTGTGGTGGGATGCAATGAGATGTGGATGCGGCAGGATGTGCGATGGGATGCGATGGGATGTGGTGGGATGTGCAGCGAGATGCAATGGGATACGTAATGGATGGGATGAAGTGGGATGCAATGGAATGCAGTGGGCACCCCAGACCTGCTGGGGACACTGGAGCTGGGAAAAGGGGGACGAGGAAGCTCAGAGGGTCACAGGCATTTGAAGGCCCCCAGGGTGACAACGGAGCCCCAGCACATCCCGGTGACCCCTACATGGTGCTACCCAGGGCTGTGAGAGAGCCCTACCCCAAACATCCCGCCACCACAACAGCAATAATTGTAACAACAACAACAGGAAAATTGGGATGACGCTTTGCCAAGGACTCCGGGGGAGGGAGGAGCTGAGTGGTGCCCCGCACAGGTAGGGTGCAGCCCCTGATGATGGGCAGGGAGAGCAGAAGGGGGGGGAGAGGAGGTGATAAATGAGTGCCCCATGGCAGCCCTTCCCCTGGAGGGAGGGCACAGAGGGGTCTGGGGGTGGCCCTGGTGCTCCAGGCTGGTTGTCCCCATGCAGAGGGGCTCCCCGTGTTCTGGGGCTGCAGGAGGGGGAGCTCCAGCAGCAGGTGGGGGCACTCAGCCCATGCTTTTAGGGAAAAGCCCACCTGCTGGGGGTGCTGCTATGAGGTCACAGCTCACCAGCATGCTCTCCTCGCACTGAGGAGAAAGCAAGGCTCAATTTCCCCTAAAAGTACTTAATTCTAATTAAATGCTTCAGGTTTGATAGGTGGTTGCTCAGCCCAGCTCAACTGCCCAGCAAAGGGAATCATTCAGAGCACCTGAGCTGGAAACCAGCGCAATGCAGCCCAGGTAAGGACAGCAGGGAACTGGAGTGACGGTCCCATATGGGAGCACACACATTCTTTAGCCCTGTTGTGCACACACCACACTTTGGCTGTGGGGTTTTCTTCCCCAGCCCCAACGCACAGCTCACCCACAGCCCTCTGGTGCCACGGTGCTCCCAGCAGGGGCTGGCAGCGGTTCTGGGATGTGGAGCTGTGAGCATCACCTCCCCACGGCTGGTCTGTCAGGGGTGGGAGCACCCACCTCTGCCCCACGCTCAGCCCCCCCCCAGACGCCGTCCCTCTCCCCGTGTCCCTGGGTGACGTCTGCCACGCGGTTAAATCAGATCTGCGCTGAATCCCATCGTTTCCACGGCAACGTGGAGGAATCAGAGGACCCAAAGCCACCCGGCGGGGCTGCGGTGGGGGGCAGCGATGCTCTACGGACCGCATCGGGCACAGCCCCACCGCTCCGTGCTCGGTCCCCATCCCCGAACGCCTTTTGGGGCCGTGCTCCCCATAGGGCCGCTGCTTATGGGGCAGCCCCGCTTACGGAGCTCTCCCCCCAGGGATTCCCCCGCGGGGTCGGCAGTGGGGCCGGCACCGATGTGCACAGAAGGGCCGTTTGCTGACGGCGTTTCCCATCCCCGCCAGTTTCTGCCTTCGTGCCGCCCGGCCCGGAGCTCTGCAATGCAGCTCACAGCGCTCAGCGCTGCGCGAATCCCATCAATATTTCATGGAGCTGCTTCCTCCAGGGGAAGGGCTGAGCTCGCTCTGCTTCTGCTGCTCCCAGCAGCGCTCCTGCCCTCGCGGAGAACATCCCATTTCCTTCCCCTGGCCGTCAGCCCCCAGCGGCCCCCCCTTCCCCTTCCTTTTCCAAACGAGCCACCAGCGCTGCGCCTTTCGGGGCTGCGCCCTATGTGGGCTGTGAAGACCCCTCAGGTGGGAATCAAAGCACCCACTGATTTCTACCCTGAGATGCTCGAGTACAACGTGTTGAGGTCACAGGGGCAGCTCCAGGATGGGCATTTTGCCCCCCCCAGCTCCGTATGCAGCAGCAGAGCACTGAGCACAGCCCCATATGGCAGCATGGGGTCCCTCCTGGCTGCCCCCCGCGCTGCCCACAGCCCAGCAGGTCAGGTGCAGCGTTTGCAGAAAAGTTGTTTTGTGTTTTTTTTTTTTTAAATGCTAAGGCTGCACAATTACAGCACCGCTTCTGAAGGGATCAGCAGAAAACTTGCTTGCTTTGGGAAGACTTCTGTGAGCCGGAGCGATGCCAGGAGAGCGCGGGAGCACAGAGCTGCCCACAGCAGCACCCAGTGCTGCCTCAGCCCCCACCCGCCCCGAAATGAGAGCCTCAATGGGGACAGTGCCGTGCACCAGGGTGACAGCACCATGTCCCCTCCTTGCTCCATCACTCCACAGCCAACACATGGCAAACAGCAAGCAGCACCCCCAGCTCCAGGGGTCCCCCTGCAAAAGGTGAGGGGCTCTGGGGCACCCCCTGACCCTATAGATCCCTATGGCACAGCAATAATGCAGGTGGGAGGGGTGGGACCCCCAAACGGGGAAGGCAGCCGTGCAGCACATCAGCCACGCTGTCGATCCTGCTCTAAATCACTACAGTGGAGACGACGTGAGCCTGTTTGCCTGCTATTAGAGATGCTGTGACACAACATCTTGGAGAGCGTTGAAATGGATGCGAGGAGATGGTGCCGTGCTGCTCGGCTTCTAACAAGCAGGAGGATTTGGTGTTTTCATAACCTGAAATTGCACTGTGCATCACTGTGATGCTCCCACACGGCTGTGGCACAGCGGGACTGTGCTCAGCTCAGGTGGGATCAGAAGTGACAGCACAGGGATGGAGCGGGGGGGTGGCTGTCCCTGATTTGGGACACATGAGGAAGGATGGAGGCACCGCAGTCTCACCCCTATCCACACAATGCAGGCAGTGCTTCAGGGATGGGCCTGAAATGGGGCCGGAGAGAGAGCTGTGAGTCAGGGTGTGAGCTGGAGCAGCAAATGGATGGCAGAGAGAGGGCACAGGGCATGGGGAGATGCGTGAGTGCAGCAGAAGGGCTGGTTTGGGAGAGGCGCTGGTGCAGGAGGAAATAGGCACAGTGCTGGGGATGCAGGAGAGAAGCTCAGGTCAGCAGCCCAGCCTGAGGCTGTGTGCTCTGTGCTCCAAACCCCAGCCGTGTCCTCAACACGTGGGGAGCTGCAGGACCCCACGGTCACCGTGCAGGAAGGAAACACCCAGCACAGCCCCAGGGCTGCAGCCTGCATCCTGCCGTGCCCTTTGGCTTGGGGCTGAGGGCTCTGCTCACAATTTGTGCTTCCCTGCAGCCGTCACCAAACCCCGTGTGCCGCAGCACCGCGGGGATGGATGTTGGCTCACCCCATAGCGCCGGGTCCTGGGGAATGCTCTGTGTGTGGGGTGAGGAATGCAGCGGGGATGGCCTAAGAACAATGTGGGCACCCACCCAACGACGACCCCACATCACCACTCTGGGGACTGTGCTGAGGTGCGAGAGCAGCCACTGCTCCTGAGCAGCACCGCCCAGCTCTGGTCCGCGCTGCGGGGCCGGGGTGATGCCCGTGGCTTCCTCCTAACACAGAGCCCCAGTGGGGCCCCTGCCCACCCTGCAGCACCGTTTCACTCCTCCTTAGCAAACCTGTAAGGGGTTTCCCTGCAGGACCACCCGCAGCACCTGGCTGTGTGCACAGAGGGCGCAGCAGGACTGACAGACATGGCACAGAAGGACCGATGGACACAACACAGTGCAACTGATGGACATGGCACAGCAGGACCGATGGACGGAGGAGAGCAGGACTGATGGACACAGAACCAGCGAGAGGTGAGGTGAGCGCCGACATTCTGAGGGTTGGGGGCTGCAATGTGACCCCCCCCCTCCCGGCAGGACCCCCCCTCGGCCGGTCGCTGCCCCCATGTCCCCCCGCGGCGGGGCCAGGCTGGCACGGGACGGGGTTGACGTCAACGGGCTTTCAGCGGGGATGATGGATGGCACAGGGACAGCGCTCCCGGTCCCGAGCCGCGCTGGGAAGCGCTGCCCGCGCCGGTTCAGAGCTCCGGTGCTCGATTCCAGCAGCGCCCGACCCGGAGCCCCCGATCCGGGCAGCCTCCGCGCTTCGGGGCTCCCTCCCTTCCCCGAGCATCCCCCAATCGCGCCGCCCCCCCCGGCCCCGCTGCCGCCCGCGACGCTCGGGGCAGGTGCGGTCCCGCCGGGTCCCGGAGCGCCGCACCCCGCGGGCACTCACCCACCGCTGCCGCCGCCGCCGCCGCCGCCCGTGCCCGCTCCTCCCCTCGGCCCCGGCGGGTGCTGGGAGCGGCGGGCGGGGGAGCCCCGACGGAGCGGGCGGCGGCGGAGAGGGGCTGGAGGAGCCGCGGGGAGCGGGGCCGCTGGGGGCAGCCCGAGGGCGGCCGGGGGAACCCGCGCTGTGTGCCGGGTGGGGCTCGTGCTCATCGGCCGGACCCCAGGAGGCGCTGGGTCGACCCTGCGCCCACCGCTCAGACCCCAGGAGCTGCCACGCTGAGCTTCCTTCCACCATCCGGACCTCAAGAGCTCCCAGCTGAACCTCACCTGCACCCCAAAAGCCACCAGCCCGACCCCGTACCCAGCAATCAGAGTCCCCAAGAGGTGCCAGCAGGACGCTGTACCTGGCAAACAAACCCTGAGAGCCGCCAGGAGACCCTGTGCTGTTGGTTGGACCCCCAAGCTGTCCCGCTGACCCTTTTTCCACCATCTGAACCCCAGGAACCAACACCAAGACCAAGAGCCCCCAGCTGCACCTCACTCCCCATCACCCAGAGCCCCCCAGCAGGCCCCACACCCACCAAGCAGCCCCAGAGCCTCCGGCCATGCCTGCAGCTGTCAGCCTGCGGGTGGCTGTGGTGGATGTTGTGGGGGCAGAGGGAACACACAACCCTCTGGGATGTGGTGACCCCAAATCATCAGCCGCCATTCCTTCAGCAGGGACCGTTTTGGGGCTTTGCCTGGTGTCTGAGTGCAGCCCTCCCAGGGAACGGGGTACATTTTGTGCCTCAGTTCCTTCTGAAGGAGGGAGACAGTTGGAGCAGAGGGGCTGCGATGGTCCCATGCTGCCCTTGGACTCACCTTGGCTCCCCAAAGACAAACACTAATGTCCCCCGGAGCCGCTTCTCTTTTCGCTCATGGTGAATTCCTGCAGTGCTCTCCCTGCGTTCCCTCCGCGGGCTGCGCACCCTTTGACATGGCAGCCACGTGCCACGAGGAAACCCTCCTTCACCGACTTTAACTCTGTCTCTCCCTCAAATAACAGCGGGCTCGGATTGCCCTGTGCTCCCCACTGCACGGCGTGGGGGTCCCGGTGGTGGGCAAAACCCCAACGGTGTCCAGGGAGTGATGTGGGGTTTGCAGGTGGCAAAGCGCAATGGGCATTTGTGGGTGCAGAGAGGATGGGGAGAAAATCCTCTTGGGGTGCTGCAAGGGAAGGGGACGGCAGGGACACGGCAGGGACACGGCAGGGACACGGCAGGGACATGGCAGGGACACGGCAGGTCCCAGCGCCGGGCACGGGAAGGCTGGGGAAGGAGCAGGAATAGCTGAAAGAACTAAATATGGAAACTTGGATAAAACAGAGCTGAAGTAGGGAGCCGGTTTCCTAACAGAATTCAAAGCATATAAACAAAGTCGGGGAGGGAGAGAGGTTGTCTGGAGGGGGCCTTTATGAGTAATATTTAGAAAAACTGGCTGGAAATATCTCTTGGGGAAAGGCAATTTCATCAAAGCGGATCTGCAGCTTTGTGGGGACGGCGTAATTCTGGGAACACGTTGTTTGTGGGGAAGAGGTGCTGAAAACACACGCCTCGATGGTGGAAAGCAGCTCCTTAATTCACTAAGGAGCTCAGCTTTGCCGGCTTCCCACCACCTTCTCCTTTGCATTTTGGTGCTGTGTCGGAGGAAGGAGTTGTTTAATGTGATTACTCCCGTAAGGGCGACTTAAGAAGATTAATGGGGCTCAGCTTTATGGTGTTGCAGGGGCTGTGGGCAGCAGGCTCAGGCCCTGCACCCGCAAGGAGCTCAGCTGCTCACTGCAGGAGCTCTCTGCACCCAATGGAGGCAGCCTGCTGGACCACAGAGCCCCCACATCTGACCCAAAATGGCTTCTTTCTTCCCCTCCCAGCTCTACAAGGCAACGTCTCTGTGTCCAGGCGGATCTCAATACATTATTTACATCCAGATTTTTCTTTTCTATGCATTTCTTTGCTTGGGGATGCTTGCCCCAAAGCAACAGCTGGTTTGGGATTAGTGCAGAGGACTGCTGTAACGGGAGCCAGGTGGGATGGGAGAGGGCTGACTGATGGGAGGAAGGCCAGGAGTGCAACCTCTGCTGTTGCATCCAATTTCCATCGGTGTCAAACAAACCCAGCCCTCCTGAAAGCCGGCTGGAGGCTGCAGTCAGTGCAGAACAGCTCCTCTGGGTCTCATTGCTGGCGCAGGAGGCCCCGGTTGAGCAGGTAGCAGATGTCAGTAAGTGCGAAATCAACAAACCACCACAAGAAATTACACAGGCACCAATAAACCAGAGAGTGGGAAAAAAAAGCTGTTGTGGTTGTTGTTGGTTTGGGGTTTTTTTTTGGTTGGTTGGTTGGTTTTGTTTTTCTTGGCTCCTCTGTGTTTCGGGCAGGCTGACACAAGAGATCTCAGTGTCTGCAGATGGCCGTGATCCCTGGGGAAGCCAAAGCACCCCAGACAATGCATGCATTGCTGCTGAGAGCAGGTGGGAAGGAAATGGAGCATCACAGGCACAGGGTGACGGCGCACAAAGGGATTCAGCAGGAGAAGGGGTGGGAGCTGTGCAAACGCCCTCCTTCAGCAGGGAAACAGCTGGCTGGTTGGGCAGCTGGGCCCGGCAGCAGTCAGCAGCAGTTCTGGCTAATTGATTTAGAAATGAGTCATTCCAGCAAGGGGCTGCTTTGCAGATCATCGCTCCCAGTCGTTGCAAAAGGAGACCAGCTTAGGAACAGCGAGATCTGGGGGTGGGTGGGGGTGTGCATTCTTCTAAGGAAAAGCTGTGGCACATCTCTCATTTCTCTGGGCCCCCGGGCCTCAAAGCTGCAGCCTCGCCATAAAACCGCAGGGATTTGCTGCCTGTTGGTGCCAACACGCAGCCTTAAGGGCAACCCAGCCCTGAAAGCCCCCAGCGAACGTGGCTGAGGAGATCTGTCCTGTTTCCTACAAATGCATCCGTCTGTCCGTCCGTCTGTCTGCAGCACTCCTCCTCCTCTCACGCAGGGCTCACAGCTCCCCAGGCCTGGCTGAAGATAAGGCAGCGCCTGAGGCCTCGGGCCTGCAGGAGCCCAGCGCAGGCCCAGGCCAAAGCCTTGGGTGCCCCCTCAAGGCCCGGACGGCTCCCCGCTCCGCTCCGCTCCCTGCGGCCCGGCCCCGCCGCTCCCCGCCGCCCCGCCTCCCGCCCCGCCCGTTGGCTCCCGCCCCGGCCCCACCGCCTCCCGCCCCGCCGAAATCTCGCGAGATCAGCCCCCGGGTCATGCGCCTGCGCGGTGAAGCGGCCCAAGGGAAAGGGGCGTGGCCTCCGCCCCGCCGCCTCACGGGTCCGCCGCCATCTTGTTTCTCGGCCGCCGGGCGCGCGCTCTGCTCCGGCCGCACCCCTCCCCCTCCCTCCCGCCTCCCGCCAGCCGGGCCGGAGGCAGCGCGGCCGCCGGGCGGAGGAGGCGGAGGTCGCGGCGCCGACCGGCACGGTGAGTGAATGGGGGGCGGGTTGGACGACGGCGGGGGGGAGGCGGAGGCCTAGCGAGAGCCGTGGGGCGGGGGCGGCGCGAGGGATTCCCCCCCCTCCCCCTTCTTCGGCGGCGCCGCTCCGATTGGCGCAGACGCGCCGCGCGCGCTGATTGGCCCATGCGGTGGGAGGCGGGCGAAAGAAGCCGCGCGCTGATTGGCTGTTGAGAGGCGGACCGGGGAGAGGACGGGGAGCCCAACCGTTTCCCCGCGCAGCGCGGGATGGGGGCGGCGAGGCCCGGGCGGATCCGTGCCCGTGTGTGGGCCGGCGGGGCCCTGCTGCGGAGAGCTCGGTTCCGCGTCCCGGTACCAGTTGTTACCGATACCAGTTCGTTTGTTTGTTTGGTTGTTTTTTTTTTGATCCGTACGCCTTAGGAGGGGCCGCGCCGGGCCGTGAGGCGGGCAGAGCTGTTCAAACTCTGTGCTGCATCCTGAACGTAAACGTGGTGGTTCGTGAGAGAAGGACAGGAGCGCGGCCCAGGGCCAACAGCTGTTGCGGTGGGCTCGGTTCCCTGTCTGCTGGCTGTGGAGCAGCGGCAGGCTCAGGACGCGCCAGCCGGCAGGGACGGTGTGTGTGACACACGGCTCAGAGCGCTCACAGGGCACCAACGGCAGCGGCGGTGGCCCCTTGGTTTGCAGGCAGCCGCGCTGGGGGTCTCAGCTGGTTCCAGTGCACTGCAGAGCGGACTGCAAACGTGGTGCTACACACAGCACGCACACCTGGCTCATCAGACGGCAGGCACTGCTGTTGCCCACGGCAACATTGCGTGTCTTCTGATAGGTACATCCACGCCTTCTTTAAACGAGGTTATGTTTTTGGACAGAGCTGCTGTTATTACATTGAGCCTCATTCCGTGGCTGGCCTAAAACTGCGCGCAGCTCGCTGTCCCTTGTGCATTGGTGACGAACGGGCGCAGCCTGTCGTGATGCTGCCGACATTGCACGGCCCCGTGCGACCGCTGGGCTTTGTGCAGCGGGTACCGGCTGACCGCGGGATGCAGAGGTCAGGCAGAGCCTCCGCTTTCATTTTATTTGCTGCGATTTCCCGGCATCGCTTCCGAGCGGCGGGTGGTGCTCTGAGCGGCGGCCCCGGAGCGCTGCCCGCCAACCCGGGCCTGCGCTGCTCCGGGAACGGCTCCGCGCTCCGCCCTCCCGCGCGGCCCCGTGACGCGCCGCCGGAGGAGGGGGCGGGCGTTGCTGGGAGCGACAGCCGCGTTGGCCAATCGGCAGCGCCGCGCGCCCCCTCCGCGTGTCGGCTGGCCAATAGGCGTCGCCGAGCGGGAGGGGAGGCCGCAGGGCCGCGCCGCCGAGGGGGCCGCGGGCGGGCGCCGCTCTGACCCCTGCGCTGCCTCTCAAGGTAACTTTAAAGCAGGAAGCGGACGGCCGGGGCGAGCCGCCGGCGGCAGCCAATGAGCGCGCGGGGTCGCGGCTCCCCCCGGCGGCGCTCAGCCAATGGGCGCGGCGGGGCGGGCGCAGCAGGGTAGGCTGAGCGGCGGCTGTTAAAGGGGCCGGGGCCCCGGTCCGGCGGGGACGCGGAGTCCCGGCAGGCAGGGGTCAGCTCAAAGACAAAGGAATGGCGGACCGGACCGGGACGCCCGGGGGCCGCAGCCCCGCGGCATCATCCCGTCCCGCCCGGCGGGCAGCCCCCGCGGCCCGGTGAGTTGGTGGCGCTGGCGGGGGCCGCGCGGGTTGGGCGGGGGGCGGCCGCGGCCCGGTGACAGCGCAGCGATGGCACCGCCCGGCACCGCGCGGGGCCTCCCCTCCGCGGCGATGGACGGGGCTGCGGGCGCGGCTCGGTGCCCCGGGCTGAGCCCTCGGCGTCGGGGAGGAGGGGGGGCGAACGGAGGGGTCATCCCGGGCTGAGCCGTGCGCGGGGCCGCGCCGCCAACCGGCAGCGTGGATCGAGGGGGGGGCACAAAATGGCAGCGCCTCCCCCGGTGCCCGCCGAGCTGTGGGGCTGGGGGAGGGGGAGGGAGATAAAGGGGGATGCGGGAGCCGGCGCTGACGCCCGGCCTCTGCGGCCCGACGGCACCGTGGGCTTTGGGCCCCCAGCCGCCCTCGGGCTCCTGCCCGCAGCCCTTTTGTTTTCTCTCCCGTTTGCCACCGAACACTGAAGGTCACTGAGAGGCCGAGCGCTGCTGGGCACACGGCACGGCCAGCGAGCTGAGAGCCACACGGGTGAGCGGGCAGCCCTGGGGGAACCAAGCCTGGGCCTGGAGCCGGGGCTGAGCTGCAGCCCAGTGCCCGAGTGAGGCCTCCCCACATCAGCAGCAGTGACCTTGAGATGCCGCGGCTCCCGGCCTCCAGAATGAAGGACAAAGTTTGTTGACAGCACTTTGGCTGGGGGGAAAAGAAAAAAAAAAAAGAATGCGAGTTGAAAAATGAAGCTGCTCCCCTCACCCAGGGCAACGAGGGCATGGGGAATGGTGTGCAGCTCAGCATTAAGTGCACGTTGTAGGCATTCCTCGCCCTGCACTGCAGCGGGATGTTGGGTGCTGCTGGCACGTCCTTGAGGTGCCGGTGGGGCTGCAGGACACAACCCGGTGCTCTGAGCCCTCTTCAGGGCTTTTTGTTCTCCAGCTGCAAATTGTTGGCTTCAGAATTGCTGTTCTGAGAGCTGGAGGTAATTACGTTGTGCATCTTATGTCAGAGCTGGGTGCGTTTCCTGAGCTCGAGCCTCAGTGATGCCACCTGTAACTGAGGGACCACACTGGGCTCTGGCTGCAACCTGAGTGCTTTTTGAGTTGCTGCAGCCTCTGAGTGTCACTGGGTATTTTAATTCCATTACAGCTAGTGAGAAGCATTGCCCTTACTCAAGCATCCTGTGACTTCATGTGGTTTCATGTCTGAAAGGGGCAGAGGGAAACCATCCCCTGTCGGTACCAGTGGCTGCTCCAGGTCACTGGTGGGGGAGCAGCAGCAGCACCTGAAGCAGCTGTGAGGCATCTGGGTGTTGCTGCCAGCAAGAAGGTCACTGCTAGCCTCTATGTGTAGAGATATGCCATTTTAAGCTGTTTTTTTCCATGTATTTTGGATGTATGCAATTCCTCCATGCTTTTGAGAGGTAGCCAGAGTCTTCATTGCACCCAGCGTTCATCGTATTTCAGATCTTGAGCTTGCAGGAGGCTGTGGATGTGCAGCAGTAGGTGCTGCTTGATCTTCCTGGGAGAAGAACAGCAAAAAAGAAGCCATGAAGCTCCCAGCACTGAAAAGGGATTTGTGTACACATCCTGCCCGCTCCGACCTTCTGGTAGCCCATGGTATGGAGGGAAGGTTCCCATGTCCCAGCTGTGCTGCTCTGTGGGGTTGGGTTGTGTTCTCCGTGCCTCAAAGGTCCCTGCTTTGAGCAGGCCCACAAACCAGGCCTTGGGTTTCGTTTGAGGACTTTTCCGTGGTTATTTCTTGTACTAAAGCAGCTGGCAGCACCAGCAGGGAAGGCTTAGAGGACGCAGGGTTGTTGTGGGAAGCTGCTGCCTATGGGTTGAGGCACTCGGAGCCTGGTGGGTGCCTGCAGGAGGTCACCTTCAGAGCTGGTGCTGGTGTTTGTTTTGTTGGGTTCCTTGAATTGGCCTGGGATCTGGTATTTATGTAATGCAGCGTGACATCTGTATTCCAGTGGTGTGGGTCCAGGAAGCAGCTTAATGGAGCTGCCTGCACTGGAAGCGAATCAGATTGGTATGGTTAACTTCAACTCTTTTCTTGTTTTGCTGTTGTGCTTCAGAGCAGCCAAAGAACTGCTGTGGGGGCATTGTCTGTGACCAGACGTTGGGTACTGCTAAGGAAGCTCCTGTTGTGTATTGCTCAGAACCCAAGAATTCCTGCGTGCTGAGATGTCGCTGTGGGGATTTTCTCCTGTTGTCTATGGCTTGACGTCCTGTTTGGTCACTGCCTGATGAGTCAAAGTGGGTCACCCTCAGCTGTCTTCTTTATTCATTGAAGGTGACCCACAGGGGTGTAGATTTGGGTGTTTATAGTACGAGATCATAAAAAAAATAAAGGCCTCATGACAGCGTTCTGCCTGCCCATTGAGCACTATAGGTTGTGCTTTAAGTGAGGTTTTCTGACCTGGGGAGGCAAAAAGCTTGAGCCTGTGTTATAAAAATGATTACTTTTAATTTCTGTTAGATGCCATTTGTTAATTTAATTCATGAAATGGAGTAAAGAAGGAAATAAGACCATCGAATGTTCTAATAATCCCTATAGGACAAAGAGCCCTGCAGCCCCTAAAAGCCGTGTGTTCATTTCATTTTTCTACCAAGAGCAGCAAAGTTCTCAGAAGCAATGCTTAGAGCTGGCGCAGCCTTTCCCTCTGCTTACAGCTGTCACAGGGGTTTGTGATCACCTCCTGTTTGCCATTACTGCTGTTTAGGTGTGCTTTTAATCCTTCTTTCTGCCTTCCCCTCTTCCCTCTCCAGCAGGACGGTGGTGACTGAGCCTAAAAGTGCAGCAGATGAGCAAAGAAACACACAACGCTTAAGTCTGCATTAAAACTGGAGCATAACTGCCCTAGATGAGCAACTATTTAATAGTGTTTAACTGTTGAAATACCAAATATCAAGTGTGACCCTTGTGCTCTTTCATTCAAAGAAGAAAGGGAAGTAAAATAACCAGTGCAAACAGCAATTCAGATTATTTTGTTTGCTTTACCTTCCAAAAGAAAACTCTGCCGGCGTTATTTTCCACGTGGTGGTTGAAGGTTTGCAGCCCAATTTTGGACTCGGTGCAGCTGTGGGCAGGCAGCTCTCAAGCTGAAGCTCAGTTCTGTGCCATGCAGCGCTGCTGGGGGTTGTGCTACCAGCCTGGTGTATCTGTGTGCACGGCCCTGCTGGGCTTTTAGCAGTGCTGTCAGGTAGCTCTGCGCTGCAGTGACCTCAGGTTTCTGTAAAAGGGTGAGTGTGATTGCTGTTATCTTCCTGTCCTGAAGGAGTGAAGCCAGCTGACAGCAGCCTGAGACTGCCCCGTC